TTTACATCCACCTTCAACTATTGCCCAATGCAGTGGATGCCTGCACCACCGCATTACACGCCACCGTCTAATTTGGATTAGTAAATTTATTCAGCTCGTAGCCAATGTTGAGATTTCACACCCTTTAAACATTCAAGGTGTACTTCGATCCACCCACTAAAACTGTCACGCGAATAGCATACCTAACCAACCTCAAATTGCGCACCATTTTCCCACAAAATTCGCCATTCATTACTATGTTTGATGAGTATTCTATTTTGGATAGTTGTCTTCTTCAATGCATGAAATCCATTTCTTAAGCAAAACCATGCTTTTGAGGGCCACTGACAAATATCGACAGGCAGTTTAATTCTGATTCTGCAGAATTTCAGGAGCATCATTTTGACCCCAAAGTGCAAATTTAAAACAATCCCAATTGACTTCAGTTTATAGAATTGTCAAAAATTGCCGAATATGGGACACAGATACCATCAGTACTAGCTGCCAAATCATTGCCAAATTACTGGCTTGTATATCTACAAGCTATAAAAGCGATGCCGCTGTTAGAGTGAGGCATCGCAAAGTGCATTAAAGGGCAAGAATTTCATCCCTTACAAGGCCTTTTTTTAGATTGTAGAGAAAATTACAGTTCTTGGTGTTACAAGCGACAGCAGCAGCAGCAGAGAAGCCACAGCTGTTTTATATACTTCCTCCCTTTCAGCAAAGGCGCCACGAAAATAGGCCTCTCTTTGTGCTGTACAAACGACTCCTTTGCGAGGGCGTAGTTCAGATTTTGAGGACATTAAAAGGTGACTTGCAAGACATTCACCTAGACACACTGCCACCAGATTTCCTTCTTATAATCGTCAGCTTGATCATCCCTCACCACATGCAAAGCAGATACCATAATAAGCAAATTTGTCAAAACATATGGCCAAAATTCAAGCATCACCAACTCTTAGATGCACACATTCTCGTCCATCCAGAGGAGCGCATTCATCCGTGGTCCTGTTTGCGATCAAAACTCTAAAAGGTAGAGATGATGTACGATTTGAGTCTCGTGGACGAAACCTGCAAACAGCTATGTTTCTGCAGCTTTGATGACATCTCACACTGCTCAATGGAAATCGTTGTTGAGAGCCTCCATTGTGGCACAGAGGGACACGTTTTTACTTAAGAGAAATACGCGACAAGAGCATTGTCAAATGCAGAATAATTGGGTTGTCTAATCACCTGCCTACTTCACTCCTCAATAAACCGACTAATGTCCCATTATTTTCTCACTATACAGTTGCGAATGCTACTTGAACAAAATTAGGTCGCCTTGTCACTTTTGTCCCCTCCGAAAAATGCAATAACTTTGCGTTACTAAGGAATTCTTGACATCTTGGCTCTAATCTTGCAATAAACTAGCACAAAATATAATGAATAGTTCAGAGACAAAGGTGAGGCAGGCAAGTAAGTAGACAGTGCTCTATTCTCGTTTGCTTTTAAGACAAAACGCTTGCCATGGACCAAGAACCAGTCGACTAAAGAGACCATAGGGGGATCGGATCATTACGCATTGGCTGAACTTGTTATAACAGTGAAGGAGACTGTCCGATGCGGCCTCTATGAGAAACTGCAGCATCAGGCTTTCACGGTGCACTATAGCGATGGATTTACACATAGTAATGCAAACCTTCTACAACCAGATAGTGCTGCAGTGCATCTAATGCCATATTTTTGAGCGGGAAATGCGCAGAACTCTGAAATAGGATATTGACGCGACTTTGCAGCAAGAGTGATTCCTTACACTCTCTTGGCTTTAAAATGAGAGGAATGGCTAGTAGAGCAAATTTGTCTAATGGGTATGACA